ATTCTACACACTAATCCATCCTAAACATGAGCTCGTACTATCCCAGCCAGGCCGGCATCGCCCCCCCGCCATCCCTGTCAAATCATAGTATGCGAGCGCACTTTCTCATTTTAAGAAAGCAAATTGCAAATCCCTTTTTGGAAGAAAAAGTCATCACACGCGCATCCATGTCAAAATCGCACCAAACATAGTGTGCTTGCAAGCATTTTATCACAAACAACGAGAAAACACCTAAGGCTTGTGTAACCTTTTTGGGGGCAAATTTCCTGTCCGCGCGCTCATGATGAAATCGCACAACAACCATAGGATTCTTATGAATTCTGCCAAATCTGACGATTTCATGTCACTGCGCGGTGCACCCGTGATACTCTTGTTGCGCGCCGAGGGCGCGAATCCCTTGCAACAAATTCAACGCGGGCCACGCGCGCACCGCCGCGCGCGCATGATCAGTCCGGCGGATGCATTGAACTTCCGCGCGCGCATGTCCTTTTCAACATTGTCAGCATCACCGCGATCACCTGCCCCATCGACAGATGGACATTCGCATCGTCGACGTGTTTGCCATCATTGGTGCAGTTATCGTTCGTGCCGTCGCCCTCTTGAACATCGTCGTCGCTGGTGCCATCTTCGAAATTGTCGCAGACGTTACCGACGTCCTTGTCATCGCGCGCGTCCGAGCATCGTCGATATGCCCACCTCCGCCATCGTCTCGCGGCGACGAGCATCGACAGCGAGGATGTCATCATCGATGTCGCCATCAGCGGCGCCGCCGCCCCCCGCACCATGAGTTGCGCCATTCAAGTTGCGGGCGGGAGGGCGGGGCTTTCGCACGAGCAGCGGAGATGGCGACTTCAAGTTCAGCAGAGCGGATTGCGCAACATAGATATCTTTATAACAAGGGAGATCGACTCCCGCCCCCTCCCCCCCCCCCCCCCCCCCCTTGGACTCAACGGCGCCCTTTGTCGCGCTGCGTTTTCACATTGAGCGCGCGCGCCCCCCCGTCGCCCGCCCTAAATACGAATTCATCTTACCTCAGCTACAGCTGCGCTGCCCCCCCCCCCCCCCCCCCCCCCCACACACCACCACCACCGCCACCTCCGCGCGCGCGCGCGCACGCACACCGCACCCTCTGCAAAAATCATTATGCGCGCGCACACGTTCATCAAACACCATCAGCTTGCATTGTGAATCCTTGGCAACATGGAACGACTTGCACAGGCGCGCGCGCCGTCGCGCGCGCATGCCGGAACCTTTCAGGACCCGCAGGCTGTGCAAGGATGTCCTGACCGAGCGCCCCGAACACATGTAGAAACAATTGGTTCGCTACAAGAACGTGCAAATTAAACTTGCGCTCGTTCCCGTGCGAACATGTTCGTGGAATGCCACCGCGCGGGCCGCTCGCGCGCGCATCTCGACATCGCTCGAACGCCCTCGCGCGCGCGCGTTGTCGCGAGAATCCCTCGCGGAGAACGGGGCGAAGCGCGCGCGCGTTGTCGCGCGCGCGCCGAAATCCTTCAAACACTCTAGGTGTAAACTGGATTCCAAGCCCCGAAAACATAGAAATACTTGGTTTTGCGATAACAGCTGTCCAAAACAATGCGATCGCGCTCTTGCGAATTCCAATGGAAATCGCAAGTTGGTCGACATGTTCACGAGGTATACCAGACGAGCCCCTCGCGCCGCAAATGGCCGATTCATTCGAACGTCCTTGCGCGCGTGCTGGGGCAGGGCGGCCCGCGCCAAATGCCGCCGCGCGGGCCGCTCGCGCGTCGGCCGCGCGGGCGCGCCGAACTCCTGCCAAAACCTTCGTCGCCGACGCGAGGGCGCCGTCGTCGCCTTCGGCGTGATCAGCATCGGCGCCGTCGCTGGCCGCGCCGTCGGCGCTGTCATCATCGTCACCAGCGTCGCTACTATCGCCATCGCGTGTCGACGTCGGCATGGCACCGCGCCCGCCCAAGTGGCCGACTCGCACTGAAGTGCCCGCTGGGAAGCGCCGAGCGGTCAGCACCGCCGCGGCCGCGTCGGCCGCGCCAAACAAGCCGGCCGCCGCGCGCGCGAGCACGCGCGAGCAAGCGCGGCCGCAATGAGGCACCAGTAAACACGAAACGCTCATCGCAATCGCCACCGCAAGGGTTTTGCAAGACAAGTTGCGGGCTTCAGGGCGGGATGATTGCGCGAGCAGCGGAGTGGACAACTCATTGCGAATAGCAATTCAGTGCACTACATGGATTGCACCATATACGTTCGATCACTAAAGAAAGTAGGATCCCCCCATCACCACCACCCCCCGGACTTAACGGCAGACCTTCTCGCATTGCAGTTTTCGCATGGCTCTGCCCCATCGCCTATCCGAAATGTTTATTCTGACCATCCCACGCGGGCTGTCATCGCCCCCCCCCCCCCTCATCCTCCTTCGCAAAAGACACTCTGCGCGCGCACTCGCGCATCACAAATCTTCAATTTTCAGGAATTCCCTGCAGCGAGCGAACGGGGCGAAGTGCAAACGCGCGCGTCGCCTCGCGCGCACGCCGAAACCCTTCAACCATTTTTCCCCGCACGGATTTCAAAACCTAGAGTCGCGAACGCACGTGAGGCACATGGTTTAGCAACATGTGATTTCAGACAAGGCCCGCGCCCGCGCTCTTGGGTTGCTCAGCATTTCTTTAACGCGCTACCAAACGGGCCTCGCGCACGCGCGTGTCGAAATCGTTCGAAAACCATTTTGCGCACGTGACATCGCAAGAGCCCCTTGCAAACAATGGGACGAAGTGCGCGCGCGCGTCGGCGCGCGCGCATGCCGAAATCATTCAAAAACCTTCGGCGTCGTAAGGCCTTCAAACATGTTCCGAAAAACACGTCGCAAGACATCGTTTTGCAACATCGCTAAAAACAAGCAACTTGCGCTCGCGCTCCTGCGAAATCTTAAGACAACCACAGGTTCTTCAACATGCGCATCAGTGTTTGCCAAGCGGGCCTCTTGCGCCGCATGTCGGAATCATTATAACGCCTTTGCGCGCGTGCTGGGGGGGGCCACGATCCGTGCCAAATTATACCACGCGTGGCACTCGCGCGCGTGGGCCTCGCGCGCATGTCGAATTCCATCCGAAACCTGCATTGCCGACGCGAGGACATCGTCATCGTTATCGGCGTGCGCGATCAACATCGGCGCCTTCATCGGTGTTGCCGTCGTCATCGCCACCATCGTCATCATCATGTTATCAAAACCGTGTCTATTGTTGTCGGCGTCGCCATGATACCGCGCCCGTTCAAGCCACCGGCTCGCACTGAAGTGCCCGCAAGGAAGTGCCTAGCGGTCAGCGCCACCGCGACCGCGTCGGTCGCGCCAAACTAGCTGGCCGTTATGCGCACGAGCATGCGCGGGCTATCGCGGCCGCAAAGATGCACCAGCCAACACCAAACACTCATCGCGATCGCCGCAGCATGGTTTTTGCAAAGCAAATTGCGGGTGGGCGGGTGGGTTGATTGCGCGGGCGGTGGCGCTGACAATTCTGAGTTTTCTTGGGGGTTGCACACCATATGTTGTACAACAACATAGATTGCATCACTTCTATTGCACCACGCGTATTGCTCCACATGTCATGCACAAAACGTATTGCATCACATGGGCCGCAACATTTTCATTGCAGGACGTTTTTGCGCCGCATATAGTGCACATACTATATATTGCATAACATCGATTGTGCCACATACATTGCCCCACATACATTGCACAACACTGGTGGCTAAAACCACCCTTCTTTTGGCTCACTCTGGTTAACATTTCATTTGTCCACAGGTGGGTTTGTCGAGGTTTCGCCCGATGTGCGCGTCGTGGGCGGCCCTTGCGTTGGGCGGGTTTGCCGAGGTTTCGCCATGAGGGCGGCAGTGGGCGCCGTGTGCGCTGGGTGGGTTTGTCGAGGTTTCGCCTGTTTGGCGGCCGTGGGCGCCTCGTGGGCGCCCTGTGCGGTGGGTGGGTTTGCCGAGATTTCGCTGGGCGGGTGGCCGTGGGCGCTTGGTGTGCACCCCGTGCTCTTGGTGGGATTGTTGCCGGGGTTTCGACTGGTGAGTGGCCGTGGGCGCCTCGTGGGCGCCCCGTGCCTTGGGCGGCGCTGCCGGGGTTTCGCCCGGTGTGCGGCCACTGGCGCCTCGCGGGCGCCCCGTGCGTGGGGTGGGTTTCTGGGGCTTCCTCATAGTGGGAGGACGTGGGCGCCTCGTGGGCGGCACGTGCGCTGGGTGGGTTTGCCAAGGTGTCGCTTGACGGGTGGCCGTGGGCGCCCCGTTGCCTGCCCATGCGCTGGGCGGGTATGCCGAGGTTTCGTTCAGTGGGCGGCTGTTGGCGTTTCATGGTCGCCTCGCGCTGGTTGCTCTCCAGTGCTAGAATTTCTTCCACGGGTTACACAATGTCGTTCGCACCTCGCAGCGTACACCGCATAACTTGCCCGCCACACACCGTACGCGACATAGCTTGCACCGCATAGTTTGCACAACACATACACTGCACCATATCGCTTGCGCAGCATCGTTTATTCTAGGCCGTTCGCACCACACATAGAAGTCACCCTTGCAGAGCGCATAGTTTGCACTAAACATCGTGTAGCACCACAAAATCTACGCAGCCAGAGTGCAAGAACTCATTGTTTGGTGTCCACGCTGGGAACCATCTACTAGATAGAAGACAGGCGGGAGCAGCAGTCGCACGGCGAAGAGCATAGGACAGGGAGCAAATAGTATGGAACCGAGCCGATGAGTATATGTATAGTTGCTTGTATGTGTGGACCCTATCTTTACACGAGCGGCGGGAGGTTTACAGTAGAGTAGCGCAGAGCAGATCATATCATGGGTCAGTAATGTAGTATCAATAGAGTGGAGTAGAGTAGATTGTAATCGATCATGCCATGCTGTCTGCATGCTCGTCACTACCGCATGCGTGTCCTGCAAGCTCCCGCTTGGAGCCAACGCCTGCAGATATGATATCGGCGGGGCGTTGGTACCCGCCCCAGGCCTGGGCTGGTGGCTCACCGCCGACGACGGGATGGAGCTTGGGAAGCGAGCCCCGCCCCACCTCTCTGACGCTGGTGAACGTACCAGCACACTACACTGAGAATATGCTGAAGTGGACGCTCGACGCTTTGGGGTTGCTCTCGCGGTGCGACTTCGTGTACCTGCCGCGCGTGCAGGCGGTCGGAGACGCGCTGACCCTGAACATGGGGCACGCCCTCCTGAACTTCGTCACTCCTGATGACGCAGATCTCGCACGCGATCTCCTCTCTGGCCACGCTTGGGACAGCGGCCTAGGGCACGGATGCAAGCATACTCCAGCAGCGGTCGTGGACGCCGCGCCCCAGGGGTACCAGGACTGTACGAACTACGTCCAGTTCCTCACTTGGGGCTTGTCCAGCAACAACAGCATGCTGGATTGGCTGGACGTTCCCGCCCTCAGAACGGATTCGCAGGTACTGCAAGTCGGTTGAGATCCGCTTCGCTGAGCTCATCTTCGCACGTGCTCATGGATCCCACCTGGCTCACAGGACCTTGGTCTGTAAGCTGCACTGTGTACGTAGCGCAGCAGAGAGGGTCAGGGGACCCACTCTCTGCCAAGGGAATCAGTGACAGCCCGAGAGGGTGGTGCCCATGGCCACAGCGAGGTGGGGCGAGCCATGTTCGTGAGGGTGCGGAGGCAGGGCGCGGGAGGGAGGGAGGCGGACGAGGAGGAGGAAGCGGCGAGGTGGGAGGAGGGAGGAGGGACCACTCTGGCCCCTGGCGTTCCTGAGGCCGCGGGGCCGCCTGGCTCGGCCGGCTCGGCTGAGGCCCGCCGCGTTCGCGGCGCGGGGCGAAGCGGGGACGCATCGGAACGCAGCGCAGCGGGGGGAGGAAGACGATGGCGAGGAGGAGCTGCGAAAGTGGGAGGACGACGGTGGCGAGGATGTATTGCATGAGGCTGAAGTCAATCAGGAAATGGAGCAAGCTCTCGCATCCAGGGAAACTTAAGACAACTTAAAGAGACTTACGCTAAAGCGAAGGGGGGCAGGTCTCCGTGAGGTGAATGAGGAATATCAAGAGGGTGGATGACAGATGATGGTGATGGTGATGGTGATGATGATGAAGAAGAAGAGGAGGAGGAGAAGTAGGAGGAGGAGAAGTAGGAGGAGGAGGGAGAGAAGTTGGGTGAACGCAACAGCCTTGATGCTTCTGTGGGTCCAACGCGAATAGGAGAAGTTGGAGGAGGAGGAGGAGGAGAAGGGCGACGACGGCGATGGGGAGGCCTTGCCGAACAGCTGCGAAGGGGCACGGCAACGCACTCGTGTTGCCGTCGTGCTTGCCGGGGGCGGACGTCGGGGGCCCTCCTGCACCGTGATCCTTTTCTTCGGCTGGCTTTAGGGCCCGCTCTGCCTGTGGCCGTGTGGGCTCTTGCGGCGCGGGCAGCTGGCTCGCATGCTCGTGTGCGGGCGGGCGGGAATAGCTCGTCCCCCCTCTCTTGTTCCTATGCTTCTTCGCCTCCTTCTCCGCTCCTTCCTCCTTATCCTCCTGTCCCCCCTCCTCGTCGTCCTCCTCCTTTCCCCCATTCTCCTCGTTTCTTTTCCGAGCAGCTTGGAACGTGCGCATACGGGGAGAAACGTGCATGGCGTAGGCACAAGGAAAAGGACAGTTCACGGGTGGACCCTCCTTAAGAGAACTTCAGTGTTGTAGCAGCGCCTCTTGGCTCACTGGACAGAGAGAGAGAGAGAGACAAGAAGTGGGGGGAGTTATGGCTCTAGCCGGCTTCAGACGCTTCCAAAGTCCACGGGCCTTCCGACTGACCGGCAGGAGCTTCAGCGTGGTGTGGCTTCTGGCCTTTTCTGGCTCGCTCGCGGGTGTCCCTGGCGTCCTCCCGATCAAGGTCAGTAATGACATCGTGCGGCAATTTGCTGAAAGTCGCCCAAACGACAGCACGGCATTTTTCCGCGTTCTTCCAAAGGGGTCACCACCCTCACGCGAGTATGGAACAGCTGCATGCGTGCAGGACAATGGATGGTATCAATGAGGTCACGCGTGTGGCGCATTATACCATGCACCGAAAAAGCGTGGGTGGCCAGTTTCTGCCTTGATTCACAAGCGTAATTACGAACAAGAATGTCACGATCAAGTGTTGCTAACTTCGGTCAGCCGCCGGGTTTGGGTCCAAGTCCGCACCTCGTTAAACGCACGTTCATGCCTAGCGTCTTGCATCGCCGCTCTGAAGCGTTTCGGATTGGAACTGGTCACAGGAACCCATTTTCCTGTGGGCTTTATGTCGGATTCAGAAAACGAGCCAGAAAACGGAATCAGCAAGTCCAAATCGGCAGAAACAGCATGCATCCAGGACTTGCGAACCCCAATGGTGTGGGACACCGCAACGCACAGAGCGCGCGGGGCCTTCAAACACACCCTGCTGAACAGCCCCACTCGCGTGCACAAGAGCATGGTCGTGGGTGCGATGAAGCATAGAAATGGACTGGTGCGACGGGCAACGAACGTCGTTCAAGCTTTCTTTGAGCTGATGGACACACCTGCATCACAGCCGTGTGGACTCTCATCAGCTCAGCAGTGCGCAACTAGGGCCACGTACCCGCCTGGTGAAGACCGCGCGTAGACATCACCCCTCGGCACAACGCAGGTTGTGGAAAGATTCATCTCAACGCGCTGATTTTTGCAGTGATCTCTGGGTGCACTGAACCTGTGGAGCACGTTAGTGTACCCACGTGCTTGCATTGGGATGTCGCAGCCAGCTGGCGCTGCACGCCACGAGCCTCGAAGTGAACGAGGCCCCCAGCTTCGCAGAACAGCTGCCGCTGCGTCTCGACAGAACCAGGGCCAACGAACCAGAAGAATGCTTCTGTCTTGCCTCGCTTGAAATTAACGAGCTGTGCACACCTCAAGAACACGTCCTCGAATATTGTGGCCCTCATCCTTCCTCTCACTTTCATTAAACCTCCTATCCTCCTTCCTCTTTCTTGCTCACCTCCGTCAGCACCTTCCTCATATATGATCTCTTCCTCCTTCCCGTTTTCCCTCCCACTAACTGTTCATCCTTCCTCCTCCCTTCTACACCTCCGTCTCTAGGGGTCAGGGGCGGTCGGGGATCGTTGTTCCCCCTCCTCTCGCCCTCCTATCCTCCTCCTCCTCATCCTCCTTCATCCTTCTTTCCTCCTCCTCCTCCTTTATCCTTCTTTCCTCCTCCTCCTCCTCCTCCTCCTCCTCCTCTCGCCCTCTTATCCTCCTTTCCCCTGTCGCTCCCCCCCCTCCCCTGCCCCTCCTTCCCGTTCCGAGTGCATTGGGGCCAGCGTCTGGCAAGACAAATATTGTGTTGTGAGGGGAGGCAGACTTCTTTTTTCCAGCAGAGCGTCGTTTGAATTTGAATATAATGGGTTTGCCACACCTTCAGGCCTTGAGGCAGCGGCTGAGAAGGAAGGCTGACTGACCATTTCATTCAATCCAGGTGCCTGCGGCAAGTCCCGCCACCGTGGCACCCGTGGCATCTCAGTATTCTGGGTGGCGACATTTCGAGCACCGTAGACCATAACACCTCAATCTGGCTTGTGTTTTTTTTTTTTGGGGGGGGGGGGCGGGCGCGGTCTCAACCGTGTTGTGGTTGTCTCGGGCTGATGTAGGGCCCTCTTGGGTCTGTATTGTGCCTTCCTGGTGTTGTATTGGGCCCTTTTCAGCAGTGCGTCAATCAGATTCTCCACGGTTCGATGCGTTGCTCATCGTCACAGTGGGTGATGTTTTGGTGGGCTTGGGAAGAGCGGAGGCAAGCAAGCACCCCAAATCGTTTCAACACCAAACGTGAGGGTACACCGACCCCATAACAGTTTGATGCACGTGTTCTGCCATTGGGAGGGGCTCGCGTACACGGTCTGCAAGACGGCGGGGAGATTGCACTTGTTGCATAGCCAGCTACGGCGCAAAAGCCGTGTTCTGAATATGTTCGAGGTATAAGTGGGCATTCAGCATGTCATGATGTGAGTTGGAGATGCATGTGTGCCTAGTCTGCCATATCTGCCTTGTGCGCTAAGCTGGAGCAGGCGATGAGCCCAACTAACGCAAAGGATGTGTGTTGAGTGTGTTCCTTTGTGTTTTGAAAGTGCCATCGTGACGTCAGAACTTCGCACTGCGCATGCATTCCTTGTGTACCAGTGGCAGATTGATGTGTCGTGTGCCCGTCATGTGCAACAAAACATGTTGGAGTCTCGCGCCAGTCATGTAAAGGTGCGGCACACTTGTGTATTCCTCTCGCATGGTTGATGCGTTGCCGTGTTATATGTATGTACGAAGTATGTTTTGGTGTACGGCGCATGCGCATCCATTTACACACGCATGTTAACAATGTACGCGTGAATGGTCAACGATGCGCTGGTTGAATATTGTCGACGCCGTCATGGCAGCATGCCTGTGTATCAGGTGATTTGCTGATTGTTTGTTAGCCATGAAATTGCAGTGCCAGCTTGGGGTTTTGAACGAAGTAGACCTAAGCACACACATGTTAGCCAGCGTGGGCCCCAAACAGTGTGCGTTCTAGCACGGTGCATACACATCACATACACATGGACCGTGCACTCTGCGTGTAGCAACATAGATGGCGCAATATACGTGGTGCCATACGTGCGGTGCAACAGGTGTGGTGCAATACGTGCGTTGCGATCTGTGCTGTGCAACTGGTGTTGTGCGACCGATGTTGCGCAATGCACGCTTTGCAACATAGGTTGCGTAACGTATGCCGCGCAATCCACGCGGTGCAATCTATGTGGTGCAACTTTTGGTGTGGATCACGTGGTGCAATCTATGTTGTGCAATTAGTTTCTGCCCGCGGTGCGTTGTGAACTCCATATGCTCGCGCACCAGTCCCACGCACCCACCCGCAACTTGGTTTGCAAAGCCCGTGCGGCGGCGATTGCGCTGAGTGTTTGGTGCTGGCTGGTACATGTATGCGGCCGCGCTAATGCGCGCACGCTCGCGAGCGCAGCTGCCAGCTAGTTTGGCGCGGCCGACACGGCCGCGGTGGCGCTGACCGCTGGGCACTTCCCAGCGGACACTTCAGTGATATTTGGCGACTTGGACGGGCGCGGTATCATGGCAGCGTCAACAATTTTAGGCGCGATGATGAGAGCAGAGATGATGGTGACGATGATGGCAACGACGGCAGCACCGCTACTGACGGCGCCGATGTTGATCACGCCGACGACGATGACGGCGCACACGCAGGTTTTGGAAAGAGTCTGATATGAAGGGCGCGCGAGAGTACCCCACGCGGTATTATTCGACACGGATCGCCCCCCTCCAGCACGCGCGCATAGGGCGCGCGAGTGGTTTTGAAGTGTTTCGCGAGATGCCCGTTTGGTCAATAGAATGAACATGTTGAGCAACCGATGATAGATTGGAGAATTCGCAACACCGCGACCGCAGGCTGCTTTTGAAAGCTGATGTTGCAAACTCACCATGTGATTCTGTGTATATATATATACATATACATGTATATATAAATAGATTCGGTACGTTCGGTTGCGAATGCTTCGACGCCGATAGTTTGTTTGAGCAATTTCGGCACGCGCGCGCGACGACGCGCGCGCGTGCACGTGGCCTTGTATTTTGCGACAGCACGCGCGCGCGAAACCCCCTTAGTCGCATGCGATGAAAAAAAACGCAAGAGCGTGAACGCAGGCTTTGGTTGTGTTAAACCATGTATTTGCATATGCTTTCGGAACTTTCCATTTCGAAATCCATACGAACCCTCGGGTTTTGGAAGGATGCCGGCATGCGCGCGCGACGACGCGCGCATGCGCATGTCGCCCCACGCTTGGCACAAGGAGTCTTGGGAACTATGCAATTTTGGTAAACGGGTGCGCTCGCATTTCGCATTATGCAGGGGATGAGGTAGGGGGACAGTATCGGATTCATTGGGATGACACAGTTTCATATCTAGGATGGACTAGTGTGCACTATCGTTTGAACACGAAAAGGTGGTACACAAGATAATCTTTGTTGCGCGATCAATGTGGTGCAGTTTTGGTTGTGCGACCTACGTTGGGCAGTTTATGTGTTGCGACCCAGCATGTACAACCCACATGGTGCAACCAATGTGGTGCAGCTATTTTTCAGAACCTTGGATTTGTCAGCTCCATTGTTCGCGCAATCATCCCACCGACCCAACCGCAACTTGGTTTGCAAACCCATGCGGCGGCGATTGCATTGAGCGCTTGGCGTTGGCAGGCGGATTTTTCCGGCCGCGCTAATCCGCGCATGCTCGCGCGCATAGCGGCCAGCTAGTTTGGCGCAACCGACGCGGCCGCGGTGGCGCTGACCGCTGGGCACTTCCCAGCGGGCCCTCCAACGCGAGTCGGTGACTTCGGCGGGAGCGGCACCATGGCGACGTCGACAGCGGAGACACGATGATGTTATTAGCGATGATGGCGACGATGATGACGATGACAACGGCAAAGCCAGTGACGCCAGTGACGATGACGGTGTCTTCGAGTCGGTGATGGAGGTTTTTGCAAATAGTTCGACACGCACGTTCGGTAGGATTTGGTTAACATCTTGAAAAACCGATGGGGGCCGCGCGAATTCACAAGAGCGTGAGCGCATTCTTGTTTGAACATTCCTCTTGCAAAACCGTTTGTCTTTCTCCCAACATCTGGCGTTGGGTCCTCGTTTTGAAGAGACAGCGCCCCGCGTTCCTCCTCCTTTCCCTCCCTTTCCTTTCGTCGCCTCCTCTCCTCCTCTTCCTCCCCCCCCTCCTCCCTCCTCCACGCCGCGCAGCCCAGGGACAGCGCTTTGTGGCCACATAGGGGCCTCCACCGAAGATCCCACTCACGCAGTTCGCATGCGCCCCCCCCGCCCACTACAGCGTTTCGTGGCCCCTGGGGGAGCTCCACCGAAGGCCCCAGCGGCGCAGTTCGCATGCGTCTCCCACGCCCAGTACAGCGCTTCGCGGCCTCAGAGTGAGTTCGAACGAAGGTCCTCGGGGCGCAGTACACATGCGTCCCCCCCACCCAGCACAGCGCTCCATGGCCCCAGAGGGAGATGCACCGAAGGTCCCAATGGCGCAGTTCGCATGCGTTTCCCCCACCAAGTAGAACTTTTCGTGGCCCCGCTGTGGGCTCCACCGACGGCCCCAGTGGCGCAGCGCAGTTCGCATGCGTCTCCCCCGCCCAGCACAGCGCTTCGTGGCCCCAAAGGGAGCTCCACCGAAGGTCCCAGTGGCGCAGCGCACTTCGCATGCGCCCCCCCCGCCCAGTGCAGTGTTTCGTGGCCCCAGAGGGAGCTCCACCGGAGGTCCTCGCGGCGCATTTCGCATTCGTATTCGTCTCCCGCACCCAATGCATCACTTCGTGGCCCCAAAGGGAACTCCACCGTAGATCTCATTGGCGCAGTTCGCATGCGTCTCCCACGCCCATTACAGCGCTTCGTGGCCTCAGAGTGAGTTCGAACGAAGGTCCTCGGGGCGCAGTTCACATGCGTCTCCCCCACCCAGTACAGCGCTTCGTGGCCTCAGAGCGAGTTCCACCGAAGGTCCCAGTGGCGCAGATCGCATGCGTCTCCCCACCCAGTACAGCGCTCCATGGCTCCAGAGGGAGATTCACCGTAGATCCCAATTGCGCAGTTCGCATGCATCTCCCCCACCTAGCACAGCGCTTCGTTGCCCCAAAGGGAGCTCCACCGAAGGTCCCAGTGACGCAGTTCGCATGCGTCTCCCCACCCAGTACAACGCTTCGTGGCCCCAGAGGGAGCTCCACCGAAGGTCCCAGTGGCGCAGATCGCATGCGTCTCCCCACCCGGTGCAGCGCTTCGTGGCCCCACAGGGAGTCCGACCGAAGGTCCAAGTGGTGCAGTTCGCATGCGTCTCCCCCACCCATAACAATGTTCCGTGGCCCCAAAGGGAGTTCCACCGAAGGCGATGCCCACATTTGCGGTATTCACAA